TCATCTTGAGAGCGGCCCATGGTGTCTGCGTAGATAATCACGTCTCTACATGAACGCCTCATATCATATATATACCCTTCGCTAGGCCGCATGACCGAGTGAGCGATGGAAAGATCGCGTCGCGAATGCGCTGCGTACCGAGACACACCTGCCTGCGCGAGCTAAGACTTTCTCAACAAGCCTTACATTGAACTGCACTACCGGAGACCCTGTTATGTCTATGCCTGATACCGGAACGCTGTGCGCATCGACACTGACGTGCCGCCTCTCAATGTAGCTATCAGAGGATACACTCCAGGCGGGATATTAGAGACATATTGAGACCTAAGAATGGAGCTCATCGCATAAACTGTGTTCGACCCATGCTATCTGTCATCTAAGCTGAGTATTGAATACTACCTCCAGCCACGTAGCAAGTGCGCAATGATCAGGGACAGTTAGCGGGTGCTATCTACCCGGCAACTCTATCACAGTATAACGTATACGTCAAGGACTCCAACGAGAGTGCTGTAATGTTCATCGGTGTAGGAATGCCGTATGCTTAGTACTGTCGGAGATCGCAAGCACAACTCTTGTTCGATATACCACCGATTGAATGACCTCGTCGGTTGATGCATCCGAGAGAGATTCACTGCTGTGTGCTCTCCTAGGGCCAGAAGTTTCTTCTCAGCTTTGAGGCGATGGAAGAGTACCTTGTATTGAATAGACTATGAATTATCGCTCGCAAGTTGATTGTGAAACGCGCCTCCAATCTTCGCCATGCTTCGATCTGCTGCTTGGCCGACTCCATATACTCGTGATCTCGCGCTCGGAGTCGTGCTCAAGTGTGGTCGCAAGGATGCATCGCGTGCGGCTTCAACCACATGTCTCCAACGACACGACCATCACGCCTTTGGGGCTGCATCGAACAGCAAATCGAACTTCTGATTCTGCTATCCACAGTATGCACGAGAGACTGATCGAGCTTGGATCGCACGCAGCCCAGCGCGAAGTGTGGGCTGCAACACACTGTGTTGGAGCCTATGAACACCATTGAGACTCTCCCACGGTGACAAAGTCAGGAGGAATATTGCGTCAGATCACTAGCATCGTCTGGCCAAAGCACACATTCGTCGGCAGACCACATCGTCGAAAGTCGAGCCTTCAGTATAACATCCAGCGTATCGTCAGTCCAGGAACTTGAGAGCTCGACTGGTTGCAAGTCAGAGAATCGTGGCGGAATCACTGGCGAGTCGCCGCCGCGCCGCGACATGAACTGAGCTTTCCGTTCGTGGATGGTGCTCAGCTGCTTCGTGGACAGCTGCGCTGCGCCCTTTGCAGCGAAAGACCTTGCCGTAATAGCCGTGGTAGAAACATCCCAGCCAGTCATATTGAAACCTGTACCCTCTAGCGTGAACCCGTGTCTGTCCATGCATTCCTGGAGGGCGAGTACAGGCGGGCGTGGCAAGTCGTAGTAATCTCTAGCGCGAATTTGTAGCTGAGGGGTATCTTCCGACATGTCAAGCCATATATCATCAGGATCATACTCCCTTGGCCATTTGGGGTCTTCCATTACGATGTATCGCATGTAATCGCGCCACAACTCCGCATCTTTGAGAGTGCAATCAGGGAGAAGCAAGCATTTCGTCGAGAGATACGCGCTAGGGTCTGTGAAGCCCACAGGGGCTATCTTGTAACAGAAGGGTGCAGCGAGAGTGTTCGGACTCTGTAAGCCGAAGATGATTGTATGGTCGTACGATTCCACATGCTTGAAGCCGACACTCTCGAGGACGTTGCGGAACCTGTCTTTGTTGAAGACAACTCCATTCTCGCTCAGGATGGTTGCGTCCGTGTCGAGGAGGCATAGCGCCTCGTCCTCTTCTGCGACATAAGACGATCTACCGTTCAACAGAACAGCCCATTGTACTCTTGCGTTGTGCATCTCCTTGGTCAAGAGGCCTGCATATGGTTTCGTATATTGCCGCGGCCAGTCCGGATGTCTTAGAACCCCTTTCTTGTCAGACTCGATGATTGTCTGCCACTGGAGGAACATCATGCTGGGCATCTTATTGCCTAATCGAAGCTCGACAATTGGCTGTTTTACTTTGCTCCGAATGTGAGGCGCCTGACGTTGTGGCAGTTCTAGCATTGTGCTGTCTGATGAAACAGGCAGAAGGAATCTCTGCTCTGGCAATGCTCAATAGCTCGACATTTCCTCATCCCTTACGCGGGGCTGGGTGTTTGAGGCCGGTCCGAAGGTAAGCTTAGCATCAGTATCAGAGCGAAGCAGGAGTCATTGACGTGGTTGTCACCTCCTACCTGGGCGCCCGTCGAATTGCCGTGCTGTGGCCGGATTTTATCTTACAAACATTTTTGCGGTGTCGCGCAGACTATGCGACAGAACGAGGCATGTGTTTGTACGCGCGCAGACGAAGAAAGGCAGTGTTGATCCACAACAGAGCAGGAATAAATATGAAGGACTAAGCACTCTGAAGACGCTCGGGGACGGGCAGCGGCGCTGATGCTTGATACAGCATACTAGTCTATGTACATGTTGTAAATCGTTCAAGCCATAAACCCTAGACCGACTTCCGAATAGCAAGTACACCACCATGAGTATCAAACATCTGACCGCACAGGCTCGAGACCAGCTTCGAGGTGATAACGCAAGGAGACAGTCGAACTAGACGGAAGCAGCATAGCCGATCGTGAATGCCTGGCACATGGCGCTGCCGTATTCCTTCACACCATGGCCCCCTGAGGTGGAATTCTCAAGGCATACCGCAGTGAAATGGGATACGCATAGGAGGGCGGGGATCTTCTCCGGAGGGTCGCATGTTGCAAATATATTGATCATCTGCGTAGCATTTCCGTGAAGCACGTACTCGAGTGTCCCCATGTCGGCTTTTCCAGCGAGCTGGCCTTCCCAAGCGTCTGGGGAAGGTGCAGTCAAAACGTGGTCAACGTCGTTGTAGCGGCCGCAAAAGGTAGAAATCGCAGACTGGATTGGTGGGGGGCACGCCAGATGCGATGGGGTCGCTGACGCACTCGTTGAGATGATTGGAGAACCAGGCGCGGGCTCGGTCCTTGTTACCGTGGATAAAGTCGTCGGTGCTGAGCTCGAGAGTGGGTCGCGAGGACGGACAAATTCGCCATTAGCGGCAAGCACCGTGACGAACAAGGCCAGGATGAAGCGCATAGTGGCGAGGCTGGTAATCCTGATTGTGGGTGCGGAGGTACTTTGGCGAGATTGGTATCGATTTGGTGGTGAACGTGGAGTGTAGATGTGCACATGGCGGTACTCGACACTTCTTATATGTCTTGTGAGCGTCGTGTCGTTGTTTATCGCATGCTCTCACATCCTGCTCCGCTCAATCCATTTCTCCATATCCTCCAGTTATCCACTCATCCAAATAAAGCATACCAAGCAGCACGAGTGTAGATACTGAAACACGAGTGACACAATCCACGTCTGAGGCTAACAAGGGTATGGCTAAGAGTGGTGACTCGACACGAGCTACACGCCGGGCTTCAGGTCCCGGGAATCTAGAGACGCGCACTTGCACGTGGTCTTTGTCGTCGATCGTTTCGTCTTCTCGATTCTGACCCCTGCTACGCGCTGCCTCTGTGGGCCTGTGGCGCATGCAGTTGCATGATGTGTGGATGCATGCATTGCCCTTGTCACTTTCCCGTGTCCTCGCCTGCGTACCCCTGCCACCTCGCCCACCGATGGTTGACAGGCCCGTGTTTGCGTATGCTCATGCAGCCATGCTTAGTCCCGTCATGCAGTCAGGGATCGGGGATCGGTCACTCTCATCAGTGCTCAAGCAGTGCACGAGCTTGACCGCACGCACCGTCCGTGGGGCCTGAGCCGTAAGCGACACAGTGATCGATATTCTCGCTTGCCTTGCTTTCTAATTCTGTCGTATGCACACGATTCGGACTGAGAAGCAATGTTGCGTGCCCTTGCGAGCGGATAGCAAAGTGTGTGTGTAATTGTGGACACAAAGTTCGCTTATTACAGAACATATAAAACATGAGGTATGGCAACGCACGGACAGCACCGTCGAGGTACGCAACTCATTGATCTGTACATAGACTATGGAGTGGAGACTAGTGCGAGAGACCCACCGATATTCAGGCGGACCGGTGAGGGAGCATGAGCATAGTGAATCTCTGCAGTCAGAAGTCTTGGACTTCCGGTGCATTCATCAACCTCGTTTACGGTTCAAACGACTTTGCTCCCGAGGATCGTGAAATTCTGGCATGTGTCTTGGGGCGGATAGCCGAAGGTCATGTTAGGGTAACCTCCGTTATCGGCCTTGTTCTGGCAAACGGCCTCAAACTGTCGATAGCACCAATCGTGAGGTACCCACTGAGGGGGATCGCAGTCCGCCCAGATAGCTACCATGTAACCGTTGTCAGAGGACACTCCAGTCTCCGCCTCTCGTGAGGGTACAATGAGCGGCTCGTGGCTAGGATCAAGGTAGGGCGCGCAATAACTGTCGATCGCTGACTGCACGGGTGGATCGCACGCCGCGACGGTGGAAACCGCGACGGAGATAGTAGTGACAGCCGAGCTCGTTGTCAGGACTGTAGAAGTCCACACCGTCGAGAATGGAGGCTTGAGGGTTTGCGCAACACATGAGGTGACATATAGCGCGAGTGCGAGCATTACGCGCATATTCATCTTCAGTAGGCAATAAGATCGGGTAGTGTACGAACTCGAGCACCTGTTCTGGCACGCTACTTATACAGTAAACGTCACATTAGGCGCTGTAGAGATTCTGTTTCCGAAGAATCAAGACTTGCACCTCACTTGCCAGCTTCTAGTCCGCACATGAGTATGCATTCTGGGGAGCCTCCAAAAGCGGTCGTACGAGAGTCTAGGATGTTAAGGTACGGCGCCGACGCGGTCCTGGAAGCTAAGTAGCGGGTACCCGGCATAAGCTGAGCAGGGGTTACTAAAACGGTTTAGTGTGCTGGGATATAAGTGCAAAAGCGAGTGATTTCACTCGAGATCCGATATGGTGTATCGGCTAGCATCGCTCGCTTTCATCATCCCGTTGCGGACAGAAGGCTTCCGAGCAGAGCCGGGTTCGACTCCCGGTGTCGGAACTCGTTGTTTTTGCCTTTCTATTGACGTTTTTTTGCTCTATTAACATTCTATACGCTCGGTAGAATATCGGGAGTGTGTAACGAAAGTGTTACATGCAGATTCAGGCATCTTTCTCCCGCTAAAGACTGAGCTTTCCCTGCAAAATGTAGTACAGAAGCTTCGCAGCGTGTAGTCAAAACTGCTCTGGGTTTCTTCATCTCTTCACGATGAGCAAATATCCAAAAGTCTTTGACGCCTTGACGCTCGAGCGTAACGTACGGCACACATTCTTTTCTCTGTACCAAGCAGCAATCGTGGCTAGTGATACTTCGTACTTGCTTGAACGCAGCAAACGAAATCAAGCCTTCCCTCCCTCCCTCCGTAACCCCTCTACACCTCTTCACAGGATTTCACCTCTACACCCTCCGCGCCCCAAACATCCCGAGCCCAATCGAACAGTCATTCTCTCCCACTGTGGGCGTAGCGTCCGGCAACACCTCCCATCGCTTGACTTGAAAGGGAGCGTACTTCATTTCGCTCGGCAACTGACTCTGCTGCGCTGATTGTCGAGGCTGCGAAGGATCCGAAGGTGCCGCGCTGCCTGGCTGCGGGAACGGCGGTCGAGGGCGAACGGGAGCTGGAGGCCTTGCCGCACCACTCGAAGGCAGCGCGCGTGGAGGACGTGAAGCGGGCACGCGTGTAGCTAGCGCTAGACTTGCGTCCTGAGGCCGGAGGTCTGGAAGCAGGGAAGCGAGGTAGTGTGACTTTGCTAGGGGTACTGGGAGCGCTTTGCCAAGTGAACCGAGGTCCGCCATCGATAGGTTGTCAGTGTAAAGAGCGGCGACATCGTGAACGCGATCCATCGTCTGCGGTGGGAGACGTAAGCCCTGAGGTGCTAGTGTACCAGCGAGAAGGTCCAGCAACACGGCAGCTACTTGCGTGCAAGCCTGTGCGTTCGAGGATTCTGGTGTCGAAGAGCTGTACAGCGCAAGCACTTGTAGGAGCGTGTGTAGACTCGTGAGCAGCTGACGCTGCGATACGTGCTCTGGCGCTCCCAGCGCAGTGGCAATAATCTTGACCCGTTCCAACACTGTAGTGAGCACATTTGTGCCAGCCTCATCTCGCGCAGCAGGGTACGTAAGGTCCATGAGCTTGCAACAGCGATCGGTCATCTCAGTGGTGGCTTCGTCATAGTCGTGGCTTGAGTTTGTTGCTGCAAGTAATACCAGATCAACAGCGGACTCGTGGATACTCCTCAGCATTTGCGGCGATGCGGCTGATAGCAGCTGCGGCCATACCTCTGAATTACTGCGGAACGCTTCAAGAAGAGCGTGGCGAGTCTCAGCGGCACTGGCGCTGTTCCCCAGACGAATAACGCGCGCACGTAGCCAAGTGGCCGATACTGCGATATTCAGCGCACCTGCGGTGTGGACGACCTCGCAAGGATCTAGTGCCGCCACGTGTGGGCGCTTGCGCTGAAGGATGGCACTGCTTAGTCGTTCCGGCATGATCCAGTCGTCAGGCGAACCGTCCTTGTCCTTGGGTGATGCGCCGAGATTTAGGCAAAGCTGTATCACCCACTCGCTGTCAATCTGAAAAATTTCGTGATCAGCCACGCTACGCATGAGCTGACTGAACATCTCGCGCCGCTCTTCAAGAAACTGCTGGCGTTGTAGGTCGATGGTATAGAGCTCATCCGTTGTGAATGCGCTGTGGAATAGTGGTTCAGCCAAGAAGCGCAGCCATGATACTGCAAGGCCCGGCCATTCGGTGGCGCCCGTTGTCGGGAAGATGCTGTCAATCGTCAGACACCCACTCGCGATCAACGCCATAATCGCTGGTGACGCAGACGCTGAGTCTTCGTTTTTCCTCATCACCATGTCGACGTGCTCTTTGCCCACCTTCTCGAGCTCTGTCGCATCAATGACTCTCAGCTGCTCCACCCATCCACACAGACGGCTCTGAGCGCTCCCTTCTCCACTCTCCACTCCATCTGCCCTCGCCATGACTCTCAGAAAGACCCTCTTGAAAGTAGCTTCGTCCATCGTGTTGCCGCTTGCGAACACAGCATCAATCTGATCGTCGCCTTCCAGCTGCTCCGCAATGATGCTCACGAGATTATCGCTCGCGGGCGAGCAAGCAGCAGCGTTGGAGCGTTGATCGCACAGAATGAGGTCGTTCTTCAGTAACCTCGGGATACCGGGATCAAGTCCAGGCAAACGTACGGCGAGACGGAGAAGTGCCAGAAGGAAGTTCCGATTAAATTCTCGATGTGTGCGAAGCTGGATGTGCTGCGCGTATATCGCTTTGAAGAGCGAAGTGAGCTGTCCGAGAGCTGCAATGACAAGCGCGTGGGTGGCAAGCGTATCCGCCGCCGAAGCCAGTGCAGCAAGGTCGTCGGTGGTCGTTGTAGCTGCGATAAGTGCTGTAATGGCGACATATTGGTGGGCCTGCTCAAGTACACCGCGGACGAGACAAAAGCTTGTATCAGTGATGCCATCGTGCTTCGCTCGCAACGCAACCTGTTGCACCAAGGCAGTCGCCAATGTCGATTGCGCAGATGTTGAAAGCGACTGCAGTATGCCACTTGGGTCAATGTACTTAGTGCTCCCTTTCTGTAGATCCGCCCAGATGCTTTCTTGTACACTGTCGATCGCAGCTGACTCTTGAACCGCCAATCCGATACGCGCGAGCAGTGCATCGCGCAGGCTTGATAAGTGCCGTGGTATCTTCTCAGTCGGAAGTGCTGTCAGAACAACGGCCGCGGGGCGGGGAGGAACCCCAGTCGAGGTGGCGCCATTGGTGATGAGCCATTGCATGTACTTGCCCACCACAAAGCAGTCCCGTTGCACCAGCTGGGCCATGAGCATACCCACGTTGCTTGTCTCCGCGGGTGTAATCTCGACTTCAGTCCGCAGGTAGTCCAGGATAGCGCTGTTAGTGTCATGACCCGCTCTGTACAATTGCTCGACGATGCCAGCAGCGATATACACTCGTGCGTCGCCGATGCGGAAAGGCGAGCTCGCCCATCGCAGCAGTCCAGATACCAGATCGTCAGTGTTAGGAAATAGTGCCAAACATTGTGTCGTCAGGTCACAAAAGCGGACACTCAGCTCGACAGCGTCCAGCAGATCTACCAGGCTCAACATCGGGCTCCTGGTATTACCAAACGTGCGTGTCATCGGTACTGCAAGTCGCTCATTGCGTTCCATGACGCTCGTGATAGCACTCCGCAGGTGCGCAGGCAAAGCTTTCTCGACAGGTTCGAGTAGGTACTTATACTTGTCCCAGACACCTGGCACAATCAGACAGCCTCGTTCGGTGACTGCTAAGATAGCAATCAGCTTCCGCAATCTGTCCTTCAGCGCCACATATGCTGCAGCAGTCTTCAAGTCGAGGGCATGTAGATGCTTGAAGGTCGCAGCACCCAGCTTGCGACCTCGACATCCCGACTTGACCAGCTCTTTCCAGTAGATCTGCGCAATGATGACCCAGAGTGGCAGGCTCTTCTCTTCGGCAGTTCCGAACATCCTCACAACCCAATCCAAATATTCTTCCCTCTCGATAAGTCCTTCAATGTACAGTGACGAAGTGAGCTTGATAGCATAATCGATCTTCTTTCTCCATGCGTCCTTCCCACACTCCGCCGCAACGCCTTCGAAGAACTGCTGCACGCCCACAGTCCAATCTCTCAACCACTTCGCCTCGCCATGCGATCCCGCGGTGCCACTGACACCTTTGCGCCTGAACGCTCTGAGCTCATTCGCACCCACGCACTTTGCCAGCCAGATCGCTCTTGACAACGGCATCTCCTTGGCCAGACACTGTTCCAGCAAACCTTTGCCCCTGATCCCATGAGGTATAGTTCTACTTTGCCTCCTGAGCGGTATAGCCAGATTTGCCAGATCCTTCAACCAAGCCTCGCGCTTTGTGTCTGTCACAGTGACTCGTGGTGGAAGCTTAAAGCTACTTGGCGCCGTGATCCGTCCCATAGCTGCACGCTTCTCCAGGACCTGCGTGAACAAGTGCGAAAGCGTGTGGAGTGCGACATTGTTCTTCTGGCTTAGGTTCGGCCAGATGCTATGCCGGGCAGAGTTGGTCTCGTTCTGCGAGGGGTTCGGAGGCTTGTCGTAGTAGCCTCCCTTGATGATCGTTTCGTTGAGCACATCTTCTGGGTGCGTGCCAGACCACGGTGAGAAGTCGGCGATACGCTTTGATGAGGGCAGACGGGTAGCAATGGCTGGAGGCTGTAGACCAGTAGCTTTGCGTAGCGGATCGTAATTAAGTCGGTTCTTAGGGGTAGGTTTCCTTCGTGCTGGCTGAGGTCGAGGAGGGAGTGACATCGGATCGCCCGGTAAGAGGACACGAGCTTCATCTGGTGTAATGGTCTGAACCTCGTCGTCTTGATCCGTAGGACTTGACACCATGACCTCTTCCGGCTCTATTTTTGCTTTTTTCCAGGGTCGGCCTTCCTCTGCGCCATCTTCGCCAGACTCGACGTGTCCTAATGATGAATTCTCTTTCTTTGCCACATCGTTCCGCCGTGCACTATCAAATTGGTCAAAATTGACATGCTGACTGGGTCCCGAGGCTGAGCGGACGCTGCTCAGACGCGAGGGCAGTGCCGGCCTTCGCAATTGCTGTGTGTGTGGGTATTGCTGCCCGATAGTCACGGAGCGCGTCGGCAAAGGCGGCCGAGTTGTGCTGCTCACGGGAGGTCGAGTCAACATGGCACCGCTGCTGCCACATGGGATGTGCGCAGTGGACCATGACCACTGCTATAGTCTCCTTGGCGGTTCACTTGGCGGGAACGACAACCACCCTGTGGTGAATCGTTCGGTGTAGTGAGGGAATCATTATCAAGACAAGCAGGCAGTGGTGAATGGGTTGACAACAGGGGTACGTGGTCGCACAAGCAAGACATCACACAGTGTTACCAAGCGTTCCAGCATGCAATGCACGGCGTTACCCTTCGGAAAGTGGCCGAGCACGCCGAGGGCATGGGCGCAATCTAGAAACG